CAAATTTTTAAGGTGTACACATAAACAAATTTAACAGAAATTTAGAAGGAATGACCAAATTAAAACTAGACTTAAAATGTCCTGATCAAATTATTTAAAATGAAACAATAGAGACTAAAATGAAATTTAAATTGAATTATTTGAGTGAAAAGGGTAATTAACCCATATAAATATATTGTTGAAACTTCACTAGGACATTACTTTGATTTCCGTAGCCCATTTTGGCTGTTTCACATGATTATTTTCACAAAAAAAACTACATTGTCTATAATTTTTTTTTTTTTTTTTGCATGAATCATGAAACAGAGGACCAAAAAGCCAATCATTGGGTCCGTATGAAAGGAAAAATTCCAATTCTATTGTACTCAACCATAGTTTGCATCATAATACCAAATATATAATTGCCTTACCATGGGTTTCTTTGGCCTTGACATGTCTTAACTTAGTTTCAAAATGATAGGTCTATTTGTTTGTTTGTTGGTTTATTTATTTATTTTTTTAATTTCATATTCAATAAATCTTGTTTTAGAAATTTCGAAAAGGTGAATCCAAAAAGCTATACATTAAATAAATCAAATCACTATGTGCCCTACATATAATGAGTCACAATATCTAATTGAATCGTCTAAATCATTTTATAAACTGGATAACATCCATTTTCCCTTCTTCAGATATAGATAATGTAATGAGATTTCTTAAATCTTTTTAGCATATGTAATTTAAATACTGAGTTGATTTTTATTTGAAGAAATCCCTATTGGTCTTGTTAGCAAGGCTGCTTTCGGAAGAAAAAAAAAAAATATAGTCCAAAACACTTGGGTAAAATTTACTTGTTGAATAAATGAAGTTATATAAACTATTATGAGTAATAATTAAGTGAACACATACATACATCCATTTAACCCATAAGAAACTTTAGAGGGTTTAGCTGCCAGGGTGGTATTATTTTTAAGATTTTCCATAAATATTACATTCTCAAAGCCTCTATAATCCTAAAAATTCTGTCTCTTTTGTTTTCATTTTCATTATCCCTAAAAGAGATGACTTTCACCTGAAAAGAATTGCACATGGATAATGATGCATTCATGGATGCAAATATTAGCCACTTCACATATTGTTATTTTGTAAAGCCATACCCCTTTTTAAGTGCAAAATGAGTGCAATGTATTGTCGTTTCTTAATATTGTGGACTTCAGATCCTCTATTTCCTTGTTATTACATCGTTTGTTTCATTATTGTTTTATATCAATTTTAGCATATGGCAATAGCAAGGCCATGAATCGAATAATATAATATAGAGGAAGAGGTCAGAGATACTCTGTTCCTAACATTTTAACCTCATTTTCAGTAACCACTAATTGCACATTATGATGAGAATTTAAACATGAAAATTTTGAGGCACCATTATGTTGTTAGGAGGGCATAAGACATATCAATAGATATTTTGCAATTTTTGGGTGTCTTCTAACACATATGTATAACTGCTTAAGTTTTTATTAATGTCATGCTCCTCTGCCTTCTCCCAAAATGTGCAACTACTTAAGTTTTCATTAATGTCGTGCTCTTTTTTACCAAAAAAAATAGAAAGAGATTCTGTAATTTTCGAAAGACGCTAGGAGTGCCTTCTACTCAGATGTATAACATCTTAAATTTTTATTAATGTCATGTTCCTTTTTACCAAAAAATCAAAAAGAGATTATGCAATGTTTGAAAACGCTAAGGGCACCTTCTACCCAAGACGTGCAGCGGCTTAAGTTTTTGTCAATGTCATACTCATTTTTACCAAAAAAACTAAAAATCAAGAAGAGATTCTGCAATTTTTGAAGAGTGCATGGGTGCCTTCTACATAGATGTGTAACCATTGAAGTTTTTATTAATGTCATAATCCTTTTAACCAAAAAAAAAAATTGCAATTTTTGAAGACGCTAGGGGTACCTTCTACCCCATACAACATTTTATTAATAGTCATGCTCTTTTTTACTAAAAAATAGAAAGAGATTATGTAATTACAATACGATGAATCACGTGTCAGAATAGAAAATCTCACATCATTTATGCCAACACGCACAATAAAATTCAATCTAAAAAAATAAGATGGCTCTTATGTATGACTGAAATATTACAGCTAAACTCTTTGCTTCTATCCATAATATAACAGGGCCATGAATCGAATAATACAATACAGAGGAAGAGGTCAGAGATACTATGTTTCTAACATTTGAATCTCGTTTTCAATAACTACTAATTGCACAATATGATGAGAATTTAATGAAAATTTTGAGGCACCATTATGTTGTTAGGAGTGAATAAGACATCAATAGATATTTTGCAATTTTTGAGTGTCTTCTAACTCAGATGTATAAATGTTTAAGTTTTTGTTAATGTCATGCTCCTTTGCCTTCTCCCAAAATGTGCAGCCACTTAATTTTTCATTAATGTCATGCTCTTTTTTACCAAATAAATAAATAATTTTTTTTTTTATAATTTTCGAAGGTGCTATGAGTGCCTCAACTCAGATGTGTAACCGTTTAAATTTTTATTGAAGTCATTTTACCAAAAAATCAAAAAAAGATTATGCAATGTTTGAAGACACTAAGGGTTCTACCCAAGACATGCGGTCGCTTATGTTTTTATCAGTTTCATACTCATTTTTACCAAAAACAAAAAGAGATTGCATATGATAATGATGCATTCATGGATGCAAATATTAGCCACTTCACATATTGTTATTTTGGAAAGCCATACCCTTTTTTAAGTGCAAAATGAGTGCAATGTATTGTCGTTTTTTAATATTGTTGACGTCAGATCCTCTGTTTCCTTGTTATTACATCCTCTGTTTCATTATTGTTTTATATCAATTTTGGCATATGGCAATATCAGAGCTATGAATCGAATAATATAATATAGAGGAAGAGGTCAGAGATACTCTGTTCCTAACATTTTAACCTCATTTTCAAAAACTACCAATTGCACAATATGATGAGAATTTAAACATGAAAATTTTGAGGCTCCATTATGTTGTTAGAAGTGCGTAAGACATATCAATAGATTTTTTGCAATTTTTGGGTGTCTTCTAACACAGATGTATAACTGCTTAAGTTTTTATTAATGTCATGCTCCTTTACCGTCTCCCAAAATGTGCAACCACTTAAGTTTTCATTAATGTCGTGCTCTTTTTTACCAAAAAAATAAAAAGAGATTCTGTAATTTTCGAAAGATGCTATGAGTGCCTTCTACTCAGATGTATAACATCTTAAATTTTTATTAATGTCATGTTCCTTTTTACCGAAAAATTAAAAAGAGATTATGCAATGTTTGAAAATGCTAAGGGCACCTTCTACCCAAGACGTGTAGCCGCTTAACAATGCCATACTCATTTTTACCAAGAAAAAACTAAAAAAACAAAAAGAGATTCTGCAATTTTCGAAGAGTGCATGGGTGCCGTCAACCCAGATGTGTAACCATTGAAGTTTTTATTAATGTCATAATCCTTTTAACCAAAAAAAATTAAAAAAAAATTGCAATTTTTGAAGATGCTAGGGGTGCCTTCTACCCCATACTTAACATTTTATTAATAGTCATGCTCTTTTTTACTAAAAGATAGAAAGAGATTATGTAATTACAATACGATGAATCACGTGTCAGAACAGAGAATCTCACATCATTTATGCCAACACACACAATAAAATTCAATCTAAAAACATAAGAAGGCTCTTATATATGACCGAAATATTTACGTTAAACTCTTTGCTTCTACCCATAATATAACAGGGCCATGAATCGAATAATATAATACAGAGGAAGAGGTCAGAGGTACTATGTTCCTAACATTTCAACCTCGTTTTCAATAACTACTAATTGCAGAATATGATGAGAATTTAATGAAAATTTTGAGGCGCCATTATGTTGTTAGGAGTGAATAAGACGTATTGATAGATATTTTGCAATTTTTGAGTGTCTTCTAACTCAGATGTATGATTGCTTAAGTTTTCATTAATGTCATGCTCCTTTACCTTCTCCCAAAATGTGCAACCACATAAGTTTTCATTAATGTCACGCTCTTTTTTACCAAATAATAAATAAAAAGAGATTTTGTAATTTTCGAAGGTGCTATGAGTGCCTCAACTCAGATGTGTAACCACTTAAATTTTTATTAATGTCATTTTACCAAAAAATCAAAAAAACATTATGCAATGTTTGAAGACGCTAAGGGTTCTACCCAAGACGTTCATGTTTTATCAATGTCATACTCATTTTTACCAAAAACAAAAAGAGATTCTGCAATTTTTGAAGAGTGCGTGGGTGCCTTCTACCCAGATGATCCATTGAAGTTTTTATTAATTTCATAATCCTTTTAACCAAAACAAATGAAAAGAAATTTTAAAATTTTTGAAAATACTAGGAGTGTCTTCTAGTGATACTTCAGATTTTATTAAAGGTCATACTCCTTTTTACTAAAAAATAGAAAGAGATTATGCAATTATAGTACGATGAATCACGTGTCAGAACAGAGACTCTCACATATTTTTGCAAAAACACACAATAAAATTCAATTTAAAAAAATAAGAAGACTCTTGCATATAACCGACATAATGCACCTAAACTCTTTGCTTCTCATGTAATTTTTCATGTGCCATAAATTTCACTATTTTTAAATATTTAAAATATAATAAATCTTACAAATACATAATTTTTATGGCATAAATACCCATAAAAGATAAAATAAATTTAGTGATAAATTTTAATTTTTTTTTTTTTAAATGAAGGACTTGTCATTCAGTCTGAATTTTCTCACCCGGTAGTCCAGCACCTTTAACTGTTATATTTTTTTCCTATTAATTTAAAAATATTCATCATAAAATAAAATAGAATCAGTGCAATACTCTATGGGTCCTCAACACTTATCCAAAAGAAAGTCTATGGACCATCAAACATCAGTCCATCCGAATTTACATTTAAAAAACAAAAAAAAAAACACAAAAAACCAAACACAACTTAAATTACAAAATTATCCTTACATTATTAAAACACAACTACTATGACAAGCAATCTTACATCCTAAATATTTGTTCAATGTCAACAGACATATTATCTTCACCCACCACAAAACACAACCAAAAGTAAAACAAAACAGCATTTTATGTTTTAACCTAAACATAACTTTAAAACAAATAAGTCCTAACTTTAAAACATTGCTCGCACACCGAACCCACAACCCATTTCTTCACATTAGAGACTTGAGCGACCTAGCCTTGATAGGCTTTCGGGTTCTCTTTTGTCCCAGCATACCACTCTCTCCTGCATTATCATCGTCATCATCTTCATCATCATTGTCAACATAATCGAATTCTTTGCAACCAATTTGAGCAGACGAGGGTGGAGTGAGTACAATTTCCTCAACTTCATCAGACTCAGCATTACTGGTATTGCTAGGTTCACCCCTCTCGCCTCGCTTCTTGGCCCAATGCGGCCCAAACCCTTCATAATAGTAGTATTCATCGAGATTCTTATAGGTAGTGGGTTTGGTTTGACGGGTGCGGCGGGGGATCGAGGCGGGTTGTTCCACCGGCTTCTCTAATTTCTTGGTGGTGGAGGGGTGAGCTAGGGTATTGTATTTCTTCAGCTGGGCTAAATGGTGCTCGCAAAGCGAATGCCCTCGAGATGCTTTCTCCTTGCACTGCCAACCCTTCCCGTCAGTCTTACCGCACAAAACCTCATCTTCTTTGTCTACATTTTCAGCAATAGAATCGATACGCTTCAGGGTATCGTTTTTCACATTATCTTCATCCCTGTCTGTCGATATCTTCATCGACGCATCGCTACAAAAGAAGTATACTTTAACTTTACTGAAAATAACGCATGCGAAATACAATGTGATGCCAAAGAGAGATTAAATTTAGAAGAATCAAAGGTCTAGAAGTCTGTACTATTAGGAAAAATCATAAATGGATGATTGATAATGTAAACCCTAATTTCTACAACAAGAAAGAAGAAGGTATCGAATTTTCTTAAAGCGATTGAAATCGAAGAATCGGTTTCTGGGTTACCTTTCGTCAGCTCCGATGGAGTCTCCGAAGCTCCCATTTGGTTTAAAACAGTCTTCTCCATCGACCTGTATAATCGAAACAAAACAAAAGCAAAAAACAGTCGATAATAGAGGAAAACAAACACGACCTAAGGGAACAATCGATTATTTAGAGCACAAATGCACGATAGAAATGAAGGGATTTAGGGTTTTGGAGAAACCCTAATGGCGGAGTTTTCGCTGAAACCCTAACATGACGATGGAAATGCAGGCGAAGTGCGGTGGTTCCCGGAGGCGGAGAGCGGTGGTTTTCTCAGATCTCCGGCGGCGAGAAGAGGAGATAGAAAAAGAGATAGAGAGAAAGGTACCTGGAATGGATTGGGAGAGAAAGAGATGACGTCCCACGGCGACTGATTGAGGTGGCAGAGGCGGATAGGAGGCGGAGGAGGAAGGTCGGCGGTGGCTCCGGCGGCGGAGGAGAGGCTGAGGGCGGCGAGCTTGGCTTGTTTTCGGATTCGCATGGTGGCGGAAGCAGAGAGAGTCGGGGTACGAAGAGAGGGGAAGGGATCGGGCTTTGGTTTTTCTATCTCTCTCTCTCTCTACAAAACTCTCTCTCTCTCTCTACAACTGTATCTATCTCTCTCCCTATCTCTATATCTCTATATATATGTATATTTTGTATATAATGTGTGTAATATTTTTTTAGACTGTTTACAGATCTCACAGAACTCGATAACACGATAGAGTGTTTTAATTTCTGTTGCTTTCTCTCTCGGGACGTACATGTTAGATTACGATTTCGCCCCTTGGATTCTCATTATATTACAAACTAAGACATCTCATTGCCCACTTCTCTTCCGGTGTCTGAAAAGGCCCTCATATTAAAAGTTGATTTGAAATAATGAAAATAAGTATATTTTTTAATTTTTTATAAAATATATGTTAGGTGTAGGTTGAATTTGAAGTGATGTGATTTAAATAGGATAATAATTTTTTGACTTTTCAATTTTTTTAAGTAATAACAAATAAAGCCTAACTTAGAAAAATGCTTGAGATCTTCCTTTTTTAGAGACCTTCACAACTTCCTTTGAATCTCCATTGATGTATGTGTAGGACCCACTCATGTGTGGGGCTCACACCATCAATAGTGAAGATCTGAAAGGGGTTGTGGGGTCTCCGAAAAGAGAGGTCTCAATCATGATTGTTTATCTTATTTTAAAAGATATGTTAAGAGTTCTTTTGGCATTGATTAATATAATCATTTTTTTTTTTTTTTGTTGAGACTTTTTTAGTTTAGTTTTTTTAGTCTCATTTGATTTTTATTTTGAGATTTTTTTTTACTTTTGTAAGAGAAAAAGTATGATGATTATGGGTAAAAAGTAATATTTTATCTTATTGACTTTTATAGTTAATTTGCCTTTTTGTGATTATTTAGACCCAAAATAAATGCCAAACCAGAGCCAAAAATTAATTTTTTAATTTTTTTAAAAAAAATAGAGAGATGTGACCTATAAATCAATCATCCTTAAAATGAAATAAAATACAATAAACATCTTGTTTGATAATCTTTTTAATTGAATTTTAAAAAAAATTAATTAATGATTTATTATTATTATTTATTTGATTTTTTAAATTTGTTTCGTTACAAAGGATACTATTTTGTTGTACTTATAAATCAATCATCATTAATTTCTATTACTTTCACTCTTTATAGGGATGAGCGATTACGATTTCTCTTCATAGATTCTTATAATATTATGGATCTCATTATAGAGATTCTTGTAATATTACGGGTTTCATTACCCATTTGTATTCTTGTCTTAAAAGATACTATTTCGTTACCCTCATAAATTAATTATCGTTAAAATGAAATGAAATAAAATAAAACACTCGTCTTGCTTGGTAATAGTGATAAGTTAATTTGTTTCTACAAGAAATTAATTAACAGTTTATTATTATTATTTATTTGATATTTTTTGTTTGTTTTATTATAAAGGATACTATTTCGTTACACTTATAAATCAATTATCATTAATTTCTGTTAATTTCTCCACTTATATGGATGTACATGTGAGATTATGATTTCACCTCTTGGATTCTATTAAGAGTTATGTTAGGGACTACAAATATTCTATCAAACCTCTCACATGAGTGTGAAACCCACACACATGTAGATTTGTGTGAGTCTCATCCTGTGTGAGAGATTTGGTAGAATATTTAATAGAATATTTGGAATGCATAGCATTTCTCTTCTCATAATATTATAGGCTATGTTGTTGCACACGTCATTACCCACTTGTCTTTTTATCTTAACGGATATTGTTTTGTTATCCTCATAAATCAATCATCGCTAAAATGATATGAAATAAAATAAAATAAAATAAAATATATGTCTTGTGCGGTAGTACTCATAAGTCAATTTATTTAAAAATAATAATTAATGATTTTTAATTATTAATTATTTGAAACTTTTTTGTTATACACGCCAATACCAATTGTCTTTTTATCTTAAAGGATACCGTTACACCTATAAATCAATCATCATTAATTTCTGTTAATTTCTCTCCCTATATGGATGTACATGCAAGATTATGATTTCACCACGGGGATTCTCGTAATATTACGGGCTATGTTGTTACACACGTCATTACCCACTTGTCTTCTTATCTTAAAGGATACTGTTTTGTTATCCTCATAAATCAATCATCGTTAACATGAAATGAAATAAAATAAAATAAAATGCACGTCTAATTTGGTAACACTCATAAGTCAATCTATTTAAAAATAATAATTAATGAATTTTAATCATTAATTATTTGAAACTTTTTGTTGCACACGCCCATACCAGTTGTCTTCTTATCTTAAAAGATATTATTTCGTTACACTTATAAATCAAACATCATTAATTTCTCTCCCTAGATGGACGTATATACGAGATTATGATTTCACCTTTTGGATTCCCATAATGTTACGGGCTATGTTATTGCACACCTCATTACTCACTTGTCTTCTTATCTTAAAGGATACTGTTTTATTATTCTCATAAATCAATCATCATTAAAATGAAATGAAATAAAATAAAATAAAATACACGTCTTGTTCAATAATACTCATAAATTAATTTATTTAAAAATAATAATGAATGATTTTTAATAATTAATTATTTGAAAATTTTTGTTGCACATACCAATACAATTGTCTTCTTTATTTCTTGCACTCGCAAGTCAATCATTTGAAATAAAATAAAGTACACGTTCTGAACAATAATACTTATAAGTCAATTTATTTATAAAAAATAAATTAATAGTTTTTAATTACTACTAATTTTTCATTTTTTAATTTATTTGGTTATAAAATATACTGTTTTATTACGATGATAAATCAATCATCATAAAATAAAACACACGTGTATTCTAGTTTATTTAATTATAAAAGGTACTTTTTTTTTTTTTTGATTACATTTATAAATCAATTATCATAAAATAAAATACATTTCTTGTCCTGTAATATTTATAAATAATATTAAACGTTACCATACTATATATATATGAAAATTTTTATTAATTCATATATATTTTGTGTTTGGTCGATAATTTTTTCAGTTTCACTGTTATATTATTGTGCGGGGAATCCCACATTGGTCTGTGAGGGACTACTTTCCCACCTTATAAGCAGGCTGGCTCCTCTTACCTTGCATATGCCTTTTCCCCCAATGGGGGAGGAACAAAACCGTGAGGCGGGTTTCGCCAAAGCGGACAATATGTGCGAGGCACAAGGAGTGGTTGCTTTATTTGGCGCCGTCTGTGGGAACTCCTTTTGGCATCTGGAGGTATTGCGCCGGTGCTAAAGCCAGCGCGGCTGGGGGCTAATGTGCTGGGAATCCCACATTAGTCTGTGAGCGATTACTTTCCCACCTTATAAGTAGGCTGGCTCCTCTTACCTTGCATAGGCTTTTTCCCCCAGTGGGGGAGAACAAAATCGTGAGGCAGGTTTCGCCAAAGTGGACAATATGGGCGAGGCACAGGGAGTGGTTGCTTCATTTGGTGCCGTTTGTGGGAACTCCCTTCGGCATCTGGAGGTATTGCGCCGGTGTCGGAGCCAGCGTGGCTGGGGGCTAATGTGCGAGGAATCCCACATCGGTCTGTGAGGGACTACTTTCCCACCTTATAAGCAGGCTGGCTTCTCTTACCTTGCATAGGCCTTTTCTCCCAATGGGAGGAGGAACAAAACCGTGAGGCGGGTTTCGCCAAAGCGGACAATATGTGCGAGGCACGGGGAGTGGTTGTTTCAATTATTATATTATTATGTATGCAAATTTATTTATTTTTTAGGTCTCGTTTCGCAAGTAGCTATTTTAGCCTAAAAGTCAAAAAATTATTAAAAAAATTAAAAAACCTATAACTTACATCCAAAAGTTAAAGATTCTCTTTTCTTTCTACTTCTTGTACATCTTTTCGTAAAAAGTCAAAAAATTATCGTAAACATATTAATTTTTTTTACCTCATATTTTAACTAAAAAATTAAAAAGTTACTAAAATAGTATATTTTAAAACGAGGCCTTAGTATAAATAGTGGGTTGGAATCATTTTTCATTTACTACAACAATGCATGAATGTGGATAGGGTTCTTGGATAAGGGTGATTATGTCAATTCACATGGATTACAGGTCTTTAGATGATGGTTTGGCATCACGCGCGGCTGTGATGAAGTGGCAAACATGTTGGCCCCATTAAAAAAAAGTTAACTTACAAATACATTGGGCCATTTGGAAGTTATAAAAAAAAAAAAAAAACAAAAACAAAAAGTTAACTTTTAACTTATTTTGAATTATATTATTTCTTACATAAAAAAATTTAAAAAATCAAAAAGTATTTAAAAAGTTGATTTTTAACCATTTTCTCAAAGCATTTCATTCTTAACATTTGCGTAAAATATTAATTGTTCTATATAATTTAAAAAAATTACATTTCATTTTTTAAATTTCTAATCACATAATAAATGATAGTGTTTGAGTGTGTAAAGCTATTTACTCATGTATTTTTATAACTTAAGTTACATATTTTTTTGAGAAGACACATTTTATAAGTTAACTTATGTAAATTTGTGTTAAGTTACATAATTTTGTGAGGTATCTTATATATATTTGTGAAAACTTATTTCAAGTTTTAATTTTTAAAATTTTTATAGGCTAACTTATGTAAACTTATGTTTAAGTTACGCGATTTTATGAAGTGACTCTTATATGTTTATGAAAACTTACATCAAATTATAAAATCTCAATTTTTTATAAGTTAACGTACGCAAATTTATATTTGCTTTTTTTACTTTTTGGTAAAGCTAACATAATGAAGAAAAAATTTTGGACCCAAAAGTTAGCCTTTTTTAATTTTGCAAAATATATTTTTTCATTTATTAGACTAAAACAAATCAAATAAATTGACACATAAGCCAATATCAAATGAGGCCTATTAGTGAAACATAGATTGAAAAATGCATACACACCACATGAAGAAAGATATTTTAAAAAATAAATGGTTATTGATCAGTTGTCTCCCTTTAACTTCTCCTGTTTCAAATCATGTGTTCCTCTATCTCTTCCCTTGTTTCAAATAGTGACCAATTTCCCGTTTATGCTATGAATTTAACTGTATTCATTATTTAGTTAA